CATCAACAAGGTCAGTGTGCCCAGAAGGAGTGAAAGGAGTGTGTGAGTCAGAAGCCAGATCGTGGAGGGCTTCATAAAGCCAGGGTGAGAAGTTTGGGTCTTGTTCTCAGAGTAATCAAAACTGATTGGACATTATGATATGAGTTATTATTTATGTTTCTAGTTAGCTACAACGTGGGAAATGGACCATGGAATTGAAAAGTGGAAGTAAGGAGATGTATTAGGCTACTATAATCACACCAGATGGGAGAACAGGGTGAAGTTTGGGAAATAGATTTAATAAGAGTTGTTGATGGGCAAAATGTGGGTGTTAAGGGGAAAAGAAGAATCAAGGATACCTTCCAGGTTTGAGGCTTGGGCACTTGTCGAAGGAAAAAATAAATGAAGACTGCAACCAGAAAACCCACAAATTAATTTGTTACAGGGTGAGAACTGAGAGTTTGATTTTTAGGGTGCCATCTTATGATCAAGTTGCTTTTGTAGATAAGCAGAGGCATGAAGGCTGTTTTTGGATGTATAAATCTGAAGAGTCTAGAGATGTGGTTCTGGAGTCATGGCATATGGATTTATTTTAAGCCATGGGTAGAGATGATGTCACCTAAGGTGAGCACATAGGAAAAGAAGGTGGTTTACAATGGAATCCTGGGATGCTCCAACATTTAGAGATCTGGCAGTGGAGAAGGACACAGCAAAGATTCACAACCTTAGATAAGAAAGTCAGGAGCCTGTGCTCTCACCTAAGATGAGAAAAGAAAGAAAATTGTTTTTTAGAAAGAAGTCATTGGAAACTCAGAACATCTTGATGTCACTGGAGATGCCCAATTCCTCCTTAAACCTTTTGCCCATCTCACTGCTTATTTTTCCATTAGCCAAATCTTTGGCTTGCCCTTCAAACTGGAGGTAGATTTTTGTCCCTCTCTTGCTTGTGACCAAGGCCCTCACTGACTGGTTTTCATTTTCTCCATTCTAGAAATGACAGTACACTTTCCCTAGGGTTAGGCAAGCCCTCTTTGGCTCTTTATCTGTCGCCTGAACCCATGTCACAGGTGTGCCTTGGGCTCCCACCCAGGTAGTCTTTGCCTCGGGCAGGACCTGGCAGTTGAGAGCAAGAGCTCAAGGGAAGTCCCAAGAGGAGACAAGGAAGAGCAGGCATGCTCAGGGATAACACCCTGCTTTGGAGCTATACCTTTTCCAAATATCTTTTTGAAGGCTGGAATTCCAAATAGAATTCTCGTTCTGCTGTTTCACAGAGTCAGGCCTTGAAATAACTCCAGTCAAGGCAAAGAGAAACTTACCATTTCTTTGGGAAAAATGAAAAGATTCCAAGAAAACTGATTCATCAATCCATAAGTAAGAAAGGAAGGAATCAAAATAATGTGTGCAGGCTCATGGGCCCTTGTGTGTCCCAAAGGCTATATAGGAACACATCTTATAACCCACCTCCATTAGTCGTCTCTTGCTGTATAACAAATGACCCCAAAACTTGGGGCTTAGTTCAACAAGTGTTTATTACCTCATAGTTTCTGTGGGTCAGAAACGTAGGAGCAGCTTAGCTAGGTGATTTATCAGGGTCTCTCATGAGATAGAAGAAAAGGTGTCAACCAAAAGCAGTGTGGTCATCTGAAGGCTTGACTGGGGCCGGAGGTGGCCTACCAAGATGGCGGCCTCCCACGGCTGTTGGCAGGAAGCCTACATTTGTCGCCATGTGGGTCTCTCCATAAGGTTACTTGAGAATTCTTACAACATAGCACTGATTTTCCCCAAACTGGGAAATCCAAGAAAGAGAACAAAAAGGACACCGTAATGCCTTTTATGACCTAGTCTTGGAATTCTCACCGTGTCATTTCTACCACATTGTACTCATTAGCAGTCAGTAAGTTCAGTCCACACTACAGGTGAGGGGGAACAGGCTCCATTGTTTGAAGAAAGGCACATATAAAACTATTTGTGGACATATTTTTTAAACCCCCACACTGGCTGTCATTAGAAGTTGAAGAAATGGTGAGTTGTAACGTCAGTCCGATGCAAAAGAATTGGAATAGACCGGTTAATTTGGAATGAAGTCTCAGGATGGGAAGTTTTACATCCATAAATTTTTGAGTAGATATTGAGAACAAGTGTTCATAACCATCTGTGGAGAGAAATGAGACTAGGAAATGAGACTGAAAAGGGTTAGCTTTGTAGTAGAGAACACCAGTCCTCACACGCTCCTCTGGCAGCAGCAGGAGAATCAAACCTGCAAACGGCCATTACTGACATGAAAAAGAACACTGCTCTTTCTACCAGATGCTAGGCTGTAACAACGGAGTCTCTGCCCTAGAAAATGAGCACACAGTGTCAGGCAATATGGGGAATTAGTGGACTGACAAGCCTAAAATATAGTCGACTGTAATGAAAAGTTTGCCAGAAGCAGCCCAGAATTTCAACCCTGCAGGAAATAGGCAGTTCTAATCCTCCCCTTCCCCCCCACTCTTTACGATTTAATACTTGGCAAGAGAAAGGTCACTTGACAATATTTATTAGCTCATTAACTGTAAGTGTCTTTGCTGCCATGGGGGATATTTTTTATAACAATTCTCTTCTACAAGCTACACTGCAGGTGTCCCTCCTTTGTGCAAATGAAATGGTAAGCATTAGCACTATTCTGGCATCCCAAATCCACACTAAATATTACTTTTTTGCCAGTTGATGAAACGGAACATGATCAGACGGAGTCAGGCTTGGCTAACTTACATGATGCCAGAGAGGCAAATGCCAGTGTTGCCTGGGCATGGGCAGTCCTTCCCAGATGATGAGCTTGGGCCGTCTCTTTCCCCTGCTCCGATGCCCATCCCCAAGAAAAGCAAAGAAAGGAAAGAGAATGAACATGCACTAAGTGCTAGACACTCTATTAGCACCTGTATAGACACCACTTAACAAATTTTCCCAACAGCTCTGTTACATAAACAAGAAAGCTTTGCCACTAGTAAACTAGATGAGGAAACTGACTGAGAAGTTAATGTGCTCAATCCCACAGCTGTTCTGGGGAAGCTGGGGTTCAAATCTACAAACATATAATATTTGATGTAGAAAAACCAGTATTCTCAAACATACAATTTCTCATTTGCTTTCTGGAAAAATATGAGCTTGGTTTTAGATAAGTCAGTAGCAACACTACAATAAAATGCTATTGTATCTCTGATTAAAAAAAAATTATCATCTTAGAAATATTAGGAATGCTGAATCACAAGACTATTTTTAAATTTAATGTTTTCAAACGTAGTAAATATCATAGTTTAGTTCCAATTTATGTTTTCTTGGGTGGGGTGAGCCTTATAAGCCTGCCAGCTCTAATTGGTAATAAGATGATGTCTACTGACCAAAAAATACTGGGTAATACCATTCATTCATTCATTTTCTGCATTTATATTCCACCCTTGGCTTAACTCCTAATAATTCTTAAAAACTCAAGTGCCAACTTTCCTGGGAAAATTACCTTCTCTTTCATAGCACCATATGCATACAGCCTTCTTTGTTTCTTACTTATCTCAACACACATTGTCTTTTCACCAGTTGGTCCAACTGCAAGAGTATTCTTTGAGGGCAGGGATTTTGTCTTGCTCATCTCTCTGTGTTCTCAATGCTTAGCCTACTGGCTGCCAGGTAGCGGGTTCTCAGGTTGTCGTATGAATGAATGAGTCATTAGTTAATATGATGAGATGTTTTTATTAGGCACCTATTGTAGTCTGTAACAATTTACAGCGCATCTAATGTTGGGTGCCACTGCATTGGTGATATTTGAATCCAGAGTTCTTGGCATGGTGACAATAGGAGAATACTAGGACATGAACATATCAAAGACCAAATCAACCTTCCTCCTTCCCTCTCTCTTCCATCTCTTTCTTGTTCCTTCTCTTTCTGTCTGTCTGTTTCACTAATATACACACATGTCTTTTCTCAGACCAGAAAATCAATAAAACATCCTATTGCCTTGCTATGGGTTGAAGGACTTCTGAAGTTCATTTATGTACGTCTGATTAGTAATGGACCTTGACTCTCCATGACACTTATCCATGACTACTAGGGCCCTGGTAAACGTTTGAAGAAAATGCTGTCTGTCGGAAGAGAGATTTGCCAGCATTTGGAAACTATCCCACAGGACACAGAACTGAGAGTTCACCATCCTGTGAGTCAAGCAGAAAGCGTGTGGCGCGAGAGTATGATTAGCCATGACAGGCCAACTGGTTAAATTTTTCATCATTTTTAAGCATTAAAGTTAATGCCTATTTAGAATGGATCTAGTCATTCCAGAAGGTAAGAGTACACCATATTTAAATAGAATCATCACAGAATGTTAAAACAGAAAGTCCTTCTAGGGTTTCAAATTAAGTGGATTTTATATGATGATTAACTGAATTCCCCACTTATCCTAATTCTTTTTGATTGGAACGTTGCGGAATCACTTTTTTAAAAAAGGAAGCATTAAGGATTATTTATCTCACTTTTTTCCCCACTAATGGGGGCTCAGAAAATGATATTTCTGCTTTGCATTACTCCGTCTTTATGATCAAAGAGGATCTAATGAGCCCAGCTGAGCAGAAAGGGGCTCGTTATTCAGAATCAGCCCTGAGGTTGGTGGGGGACGGCAGGGTAGTAGCGCAGAGGAAATGGGGTGCTAATGATATTAGGGAGAGCGGCTCTTCGGGGGGAAATCATTTATTTTGCAGGTTTCAGGAGAATTATGGAGATAATTAGTATTGGCAGTCGTGCACATCTTGTGCAGGGGGAGGACTTCAAACTGCAACTGACTAGGTGCCAACAGACAGGACAGTCATCGTCCTCTGGAGTCGAAATGTCGTCTGCATTCACACGAGGGAGTGCCAGGAGTTCTTGATTGGGGGATGTTCAGTACCAGTAGCTATAATTTTATAAATTACCAGCTGCAATTTTTTTTTTTATTTTTTATTTTTTTTTTCTTTTTTACCACTGAGCAAGTATGTGTATGCAATTTTTTTTTTTAAAACACTTCAGACAGTGTTCCTTAGTTTGCCTTTCAGAATTTTTCCTCCTTTCTGAAGCAATGTGCCCCATAGCCAGGACAACCATATGTCCCAGAATTTCGAGGACAGTTCTCTGATTTTAAGTAATCTACCCTGTTGCATACCCCCCACATATTAGATAATGTGACCAATTTGGGGTTCACGCAGTATGGTCACCACAGGTTCAGCTGTTCCAGATGAAGACTCGAATTCCAGCAGCTCTCAGACGGCTTGATCATCCAGCGCTTGTCTCGGCACCTCCTCCAGCTTGGCCTCCGAGCACGGTTGTTCTGGAGAAAAAGAGAAGGGCATTGCTCTCTTACAGTGTTTCAGGAAAACTGCTCTGTACAATTTCTAAACTACAGACAAAAAGAGTTTCTTTTTAATTAGGCAATGCGTGTTGTAGAAAAGTCAGAAAACATACCCAAGCAAACAAAAGAGAAACACCTTGATCAGATCAGGTACAGATAATTACTATTGCCTATTTCAATGCACATATTTTTAAAACGCACTTTTGATATTCCCTTTTTCCTTAACAAAAAATGGGATCCTTATATCCATATACAGGTTTGTCATATTTTGCATTTAGTAACAAATCGTGAACATCTTTCTATATAAGTATTCATGTACTTCATTTTAATTGCTGTCTAGTACTCTGTAGTAAGAATATGTAGTAAGTTACTGAAAGTCTTTGGATGCTGTTGTTTTGATGCCTTATTATACACAGTGCTGACAAAAGGGACAATTTTTTTTTTTTTTTGACATAAAGTATGTGGGTGGTGATATAGGACTTGGTCCTAAAGAAGTCTGCTGATTTTCCTGAAAGCTGCTCTAATGTAGGACCGTCTAGTTCAGGCATCCTCAAACTACGGCCCGTGAGCCACATGCAGGTGTTTTCGCCTGTTTGCTTCAAAATAAGATATGTGCAGTGTGCACAGGAATTTGTTCAATTTTTTTTTTTAAACTATAGTCCGGCCTTCCAACGGTCTGAGGGACAGTGAACTTGGCCCCCTGTTTAAAAAGTTTGAGGACCCCTGGTCTAGTTAGTCCTTATACATGTGAACACATCAAGGACAAAGTAAGGAATCCCACTTTGATGTTTGTGATCATTTGCCATTCATTGTCTTCCCTTTGGTTTCCTAAGGATTCTCTGGTGTCCAAACCAACTTTCTTGATTATCACATTGCCATGGTGTTTTTTTGTTTTTTGTTTTTTGTTTTTTTTTTGGTCTGGCCGTGGCGACCATTGCTCTGAGGTTAGTCTCTGCTTGCGTCTATCTGGATCACATTTTTGGGAGGTGCATTGCACACCCTGTCTGCTCCCTGGCTCCGACTAACGAGACTTTAAAGAGATTTTTTAAAAAGGCTCAGAAAGTTTCTTGGATATCAAACCGCTCTTATAAAAATAACATTTTTATGACTTAAAATGTAAATGAATCAGAAACATATGGATTAAATTTCCTTTGAAATGCCCAAGGGTTTAAAAACCGAGAGAAGAGCACTTGCAAAACGAGTTAAACCGCGTTTCGCCAAAAATAAAACACTTGAAAAATTGTTTGGGATGTTTTGCGGATCCCTTAGGTAATCGTGGGTTCTCTAGTCTCTCTTTGAAAAGTACTTAGATTTTTAAAATTTAGGTCACTCAATAAAATGCACTTAGAACTCGTTCGATGGGCATTTGGATCTGTAGTTAAATGATATTAACAAGTCGAATTTAGATCAAGTGTACTTGAAAAATGCCCACTTATTCAGTGTATCATGATTTCCACCTCTCTGATCATACCTTTCCTGTGTGAATGGTGCCCCAGGAGAATTCAGGTGGGAGGTGGGAAAGGATTGATAGTATTTATCAGACAAGTCCAAATTAACACCCTTGTCTCACTTTCCCTTTTCTGTCAGTGGCTCCAGGATTTTCTTCCTCTTCTATCTTAGGTCAGTATCTGCAGAAGCAAAGCCCAAGACAGAGATCCTTGCATGAGTGATTTATGGAGGAAATGAACTCAGGAGAAATCTGGAAGGAAGTAATGGAAACAGATAAGGCAGAAGCTTTGCAAGATGTGTTTTCAGTGGAAATCTAGTCTCAGCCTGATCCCACGAATGGCCTTGCATGGTTGTCTCACCTTGAGGCTTGTTCCAAGACTTATCAGTCACTACTATTAGCTGTCCCTGGAGGCAAGGCATAATTTCTCAGGGAGAAGGGAAGCTCCGGTCTCTCTTACTGAGAACAATGCTTGAGGGCTTGAGGACGTTTCTCCAGACAAGAGTATAGCTGTGAATCTTAGCAGACAAAACCCATAGCAGTTGGGAGATGGATGGAGTGGGCACATAAATGGGACTTGGGCAGGGCACGAACAGCATCCATCCACTCTCTCTCTCCTTCTCACAGCCTTGAATACATTCTTAATTCCTTTCTCTGTCTCTCTCACTTCCCTCTATTCATTCAGACATCAATTTTTTGCCATTTTATCTCTTGCAATTTTCTTGCGTTTATCTTCTTTGCATATTTCCCACTGCACTCATGGGAGTCTACGCTTCCTCCTCTATTGCCCGGATTCCCCTGCCCATTTCCCACTGAACTCTAAATATCACTTTAGAATAATCTGTAACTCAGATCATCACACACATGGCTACTTTACTATTCTTCTCCAAACACCACTTTCAGATGCTTAAAGAATTAATCGTAATTCTTAAATATCTATGGGGACATTTCTGAAAACTTTTAAGATGAAGAATCCCTTGGAATTAGAGTGTTCTCCTTGGAGCCCCAGTCCATGCTCATGTAGTCACCTTAAAACAATGACTGTTTGGCTATACCTTACAGTAACATAGATTACAATGTGGAAAAGTAAAGCTTAAGAAGAAAACCTTGAAAAATACCAAAGATTTATCAATTAATTGAACTAAGTTTCAATTTAAATGAGATAGTATCATAAATACTGGCCACTATTGTCATTGCTGTTGTACTAATCTCATAATTTGTCTCTCTGGTTCCACTCCTGTCATCCTCCACTAGTAGTTACACGCAGAAACCAGAGTGATCGTGTTTAAACCCAACGTTCCTGCCTCGCTTGTATCTCTTCCTAATTTATTAATATTTACAATGAAACCCAACCTTTACCTTAGCCTATATGGCAGCATAACCTTGCCCTGTTCACGTCTTCCCATCCTCGGCTCCAGCTGCCACTCAACCCAGGCTCCCAGTACATGGGCTTCCTTAATTACTTGTATGTCGACCTCTTTCCTGCCTCAGGGCCTTTGCATGTACTGTTTCTTCCACCTGGAAAGGTCTCCTCCTCCCCCCACTCCCCTTGCATGACTCGGCTCCATCTTTAAGTCTCAGCTTAAATGTCTCCTCCTCAGAAAACCTTTCCTGGCTACCTAATTTATTCATTTAACAAGTATTTATTGAGCACCTGTAGTGGTTTCCTTTCCCCCTCTCATCTGCAGTTTCACCTTCTGTGGTTTCAGTTATCTGCGGTCATCTGTGGTATGAAAATATCACATGGAAAATTCCAGAAATAAACAACTTCGAGGTTTTAAGTCATACACTGTTCTCGGGAGTGTGATGAAATCTCACACTATCCTCCCATGTCCCACCTGGGATGTGCATCGTCCCTTTGTGTAGTGTAAGCATATTGTACGTGCTACCTGCCCATTAGTCACTTACTAGCTGTTTTGGTTATCAGATCAAAAAATGGTATAGAGATGCTGCTCAACTTATTATAAGATTATGTTCTGATAAACTCATCATAAGTTCAAAATGTGATGGGTCCAAAATACATTTAATACACCTGAGCTGTAGAACATCATGGCTGAGCCTAGCCTGCCTCAAACGTGCTGAGAACATTTACTTTAGACTACCGTTGGCCAAAATCACCTAACACAAAGCCCTATTTTATAATAGAGTTGAATATCTTCTGTATTAATAATCTGTTGAATCCTGAAAGTGAAAAACAGATGGTTGTATGAGTACTCAAGGTGTAGTTTCTACTGGAAGCATATTTCGCATCATGAGAAAGTAAAAAAATCCTAAGTCAACCATCATAGGCGGGGACTGCCTGTATATAGGGTCTGGTACTATCTGCAATTTTAAGCATCCAGCTGGGGGCCTTGGAGCATGTCCCCTGTGGATTAGGGGAGACTACTGTGCTCTGTGCCAGGCACCATTTTAATCCCACAAAAAGAGGAAAAATCATCATAAAAAAGGCAATAACCTCCATCTTCACAGGGCTTACATGTAAGTAGAGGAAAAAATAAGTCAATTATATGTGTGTACACATAGGTGTACGTATATTAGAGAAAATGAAAGTGAGTGTTAAAGTAGAATGATTGGTATTTCTAATACCATTAACAGAAAAGGCTTAAGACAATGATCTTTGAGCAAAGGCCTGAACTAGAGATACAAGTCCCATTTAGATAAAAACTCAGGATATACAGACATTCTGCATTTCAGTCTTTTATATTTTCCCTCTTAAAGCTACCTATTAAAATTGGTAATTATTTTAAATTTTTTCCTGTTTTTTTTTTGGGAGGGGGTCTGTTTTCCCCAATAGATTATAAATCTAATGAGGACAGATGCATGTCTGTCTTATTCATTATTATATTCCCAGCATGTATCATTGTACCTGATGAATAAAACTCACTCATTATATATTTATTTATATATTTATTATTAATATCTACAGTTGTTTATTACTACTGAACCAAAAATTAGAACTCAGAAGGTTACTCTCGAATTCAGTGTGTAATATCAGAATGAAATGAGATGCCATTTGTGAAAGTACTTTTTCTGGTGGCAAAAGATTAGAAATGAAAAGGGCAAAGTTAAATGAATTGTAATGCTGTCTCAAATACTTTTGAGAAAGATGTGGCACAAAAGGCAATTATCTTGGTGACCATGCTAGCAGTACAGTGTGCTCTATCATATGGCAACAGAGAAAAAAAACAAAGACATATTCCACCACTGAACAGATCTCCCTTCATTCTTCAAGCATAAGAGAAGGAGCACCCATCCAATCTTCCAGGTCCACCACTTTCCCTATGAAAGCCTAAGATGCGGAGATGATAAAGACTGAATATGCACAATAACTCATTAAGACCATTTTAAGTGTATGAATGGAAATGAAACCAATTAAATTGCTTATATGGTCAATAGGCAAATTATAAAATTTGCTACTTTGGTGGAAAATTACCCTTAGATCACTATTCCGAGCTTCGTGTTTCTGAAAAACCCACTCTGCTCTTTAGCAGAGATCCTCTTACCAGAGCAGAGTCATGGGGCCAAAGAGACCAGTTCACTGCGAGACCGTACCAGGCCTGTCTAGACCCTGTTCTGGGTCCTGGAACCTCAGAATTCTTTGCCCAAACAGCCTTGGTTTCATTTTCTGGGTCTGTGCAGGTTCTTCACCAGGTGCTACTTCCAAAGAGCAGAACCCAAAGCTGAAATGCCAAGGTAGGGTGGCCTGAGATTAGGTACTCGTGAGGTAGTCACAGAGCCCAGTGGCTGTGGTGTCCACGTGCATGTTGGTGAGGGCGACTGCGGTCCAGGGTGGAGCCCAGGGTGGAAGAGGAGAAGGGCTGCTGGCTGCAGTCCAGGGCCTGCGTGGAAGGGGCTGCCATATTCTGGCTTGGGAGTTGAGAAATGGGAATCTATGGGAATTTCTACAAGAATTCTGTCTGAATCTGTCCTTCTAACCTTGAAAGGGATATGTAAACAGAGGTGGGAGATCTGCCCAAGTTGAGGGCAGGGGTTGCTTGGCTTGGCTTGGGTGCCTCACTGCTCATGGCCTGTGAGCTGTCTCCACCCCATACCCTTGCCTGGGTCCTGTCAATGTCAGGGCTGAGCCTATCCACTCCCCGATCTCAGATCAAAACTCTTAATTCTTTCTCCTTTTTCAAACTTGTCATGGACTAAGAGGAGAAACTGTGCAAACTGGTAATACTTCAATCTGAGAGAGATAAGTCTTAGGAAAAATAAAAGCGTGGAGCACATTCAAGACTTGGAAACCCAAGAGGTAGCCCTGTGTTTGTATATGTCAGCCTGCAGCTGGGGAGAAGCACCCCTCTCAAGGTCCCTGGGAGTGTGACACCCAGTGCTGTGAGGGGGGTGCAGGAGGTGCTCTTGAACGTATCATTTCTTAGAAACACCTACAACCTCTCAGGTTGATATTGCAAGCCCTCTTCCTAGACTCCATTATTCCCTTTAAGAAGAGAGACTCATTCTAAGGAGGGCCTAGAAGGCAAATTGGGAAGCTATAGGCTAAGAAGTCAAGGGACGCATGCTGTCTTGTCAACTATCCTAGTGGATGTATTCAGTGAGAAGAATTTTGAATTCACTTAGATTATTGAGGAAAAATGATCTAGCAAATTATTCTAGGTGAAGTGGGAAGTTTAAGTTTGGTCAGTGCTCTGCTAGAGATTTAAGATGTGTGCAAAATTATTTCATGCTTCTTTGATAACTAAGGGTATTAAACATCTCGTAATTTTTTTTTTTTTTACTGGCCGTATATATTTTCTGTTTGTAAACTGTCTATATATTTGCCTACTTGTATATTGCAGTTTTAGAGTATTTCTTGTTCGTTTGAATAAGTGTTTTATATTTTTTGTTTATTTTGTAATATACAAATGTTTTACATTTTATCGATTTATAATACAAATTTTAGGGGATTGTGATCTATGTTGTATAACATGTACATAGTCATTAAGACAAAAATAATCATTAGCAAAATTGTCTTTTACCCATGTGTGTGCTATGTAGTTACATTTAGAGATCATTGGAGATGTACATTTAGTTGCAAGAAATAACCCAGAAAGATCCTGTGTAACATTTACCCAGCTTTCCCTAATGCAAAATTATTGTACTATAGCACAACCAGGATATTGACATTGATATCGTCAAGATACAGAACATTTTCATCACGAGGATTTCTCAGGTCGACTTTCTATATCCACAACTCCTATCCTCCCACTCATAACCCCTCCCTCCCAGCAAGCACTAATCTGTTCTCCATT